GTTGTTACTATTGTTGTTATTTATAATTGTTGTTTATAATTTGTACAATTAACCTCATTGTGGTTCAACCCCGATCTTGTCAAGTTATTTATTACTTTGACACTCTTGCACTTGGGAGAAGACATTAATCTTTTGGTCCTGTTAGTTGACCAAAAAATCATCAATGCAATCCAGATCTATGGCTAACATTGAAATCGTTAGCTCATATAAGCTACTACTGACTCAGAAATCATTTATGAAAATTGAGTCGTTGTTGACATGACCAAAAGATTGATATCTTCTCCCATGTGCAGAAGTGTCAAAGTAATAAATAACTCAAGAAGACCAGGGTCAAACCATAAGGAGGTTAACTATATAAATTATAAATAATAATAATACAACAGTAGCAACAACAACAGCAACAGCAACAGCAACAACAACAACAACAACAATAATAATAAAGAGAGCTTTGAGATGTGATAGTGATATAAGGATTAAAAAATGATAAAAATAATTGTCAAGGTTCAAGGTTCAAACAAGTATATTATAAACTCTAATTACTTAACTGGAAACCACACACAAAAAAGGTTCCAATCGGATTATAAATGGTTAACATGATTATATTAGTTATCTTATTCAAATAATGTTAATACTTGTAAATGTTGTCAAGTATTCATGATTATAACTTATATTAACAACAAATAAAGTTCCTTTCATATCACAAGTGTCGGTTATACCATACGGTTGGGTTATGGAAGTGCCAAGTATTTGTTGTTACAAGTGTTATACACATAAATCTAGATTAGTCATTTAACAAGTAAAGTATTAAGAGTGAACAAAATAACAAATACAAAATATGTTAATATCAAACATTAAAGTCCATGTTGAGTTTATACTATACTTATTCTTACATTATTAGTGTAATATTTTTACCTTGACATAATAAACTTAACTAAACATAATAAAAGAGAGAAATATAAATAAACAAGATAAGAATATAAATACAAAAAAAGTTAACTAAGTAAAGGAAAGGAAATGAAA